CCGCCGATCGCGGAGGGACACGCGGCGGAGGCACACACCGAAGGCCCCGCCCCGGCCGCACCCGCGGAGCCGGACCTACTTCCCCTACAGGCCCGGCCCCGGATGGAGGTGCGACGTCACTGCCCCGAAAAGGAGGCGCGGGTACTGACCGACAGCCGGGCGGGCCGGGCCGCGTTCCTGTTGCCTAGCAACCACCAGGGGCTGGAGCCTGGTGGGAGGCCTGTGGGAGGAGCTTCTGTGGTACTTGTAACGTGGGGCGGGGCCTCAGCCCCGGCCAGGCCGTGAGGAGCTGGCTTCCGGGGTTGGCGCATGCGTGAGACCCTGTCTGTGAGGGGGCTCCAATATGGGGGTGGAGTCTTCTCTGTGAGTGGCGTTTCGTAGGCGGGGCCTGAGAAGGGACAGGTGCCAGACTTTGCCAGTTGAGGCCGGGGGCGGGGCCTTTCTCGGGGGCGTGGCTTCGCTGAGGGCGGGTTTGCGCCGTTGGTTGGTGCGCGGCGGGAGGGCGTGGCACGGGGGCGCCGTTGGTTGGTGCACGGCAGAAGGGCGTGGCGTGGGAGCGCCGTCGGTTGGCCGGCGGCGGGCGGGGCGGGGCGGGCCAGGCCATGGCCCTGCTGTTGTACCTGGGCATGACCGCGGCGCTGGCCCGCGGCTGCCTGCACTGCCACGACAACTTCTCGGAGAAGTTCTCCTTCTATCGCCACCACGTAAACCTCAAGTCCTGGTGGGTGGGCGACATCCCCGTTTCTGGGGCTCTGCTCACGGACTGGAGCGAAGACACGATGAGGGAACTGCATTTGGCCATCCCGGCGGAGATCAGTGAGCGCGGAGCCCAGTGTGGGGTCGGCTAGGAGGGATCCCCGGGCCGGGCCGCTCACCTGCCTCCTCCTCTCGTCCGCAGCCCGGGATAAGCTGAACCAAGTGGCGGAAGCCGTGTACCAGAGGATGGATCAGCTGTACCAGGGGAAGATGTACTTCCCGGGTAAGGGGCAGGAAACAGGCAAGGCCAGCCCACCGCACCCACCGCACCCACCGCCTGAGCCTGACCTCCCTTCTCTGCCTGCCCCATCAGGGTATTTCCCCAATGAGCTGCGAAGCATCTTCCGGGACCAGGTGCACCTCATCCAGAACGCAATCATTGAAAGTGAGTCTAGAGGAGGGTTCAGCCGCGGGCATGCTGCCTGGGCTTCTGAGGAGGCCAGGACAGGTTGCCAGAGTGCCAGAGGGCCCCAGCTCCTCCAGGGCTGAGCGCTGCTGGAGACCAGGATTCAAAGCTGGCAGCTGGCCTGGGGCAGAGGGGAAGCTGGACAGCTGTCACAGTGGGCCTCTCACCTCAGGGTCACTGAGAGTGCTTGATGGGTAGATGCCCTGGCACCTTCTGAACTAGTTCCTTGGAGGAGCCGGGTCAGCAGCTGCCCTCCTCTGGGAACCACCTTGGGGAGCCCACCTCTGGATCTTGACACATTCCTGAAACCCAGGTGTGCCCGTGCTCCAGGTAGCCAGGGATGAGCCCTGAGCCTCTGGGCAAGCTGGGCCTGGCTAGCACCTGCTGTCCTGTTCTCCCACAGGCCGCATTGATTGTCAGCGTCACTGTGGTAAGCGAGCCTGGGTCCCGGCTGAGTGGAGCAGGATGGTGGCTCAGGCTGGGAGACCCAGGGGAGCCTGCGGCCGTCTCCTGTGTTGCAGGCATCTTCCAGTATGAGACCATCTCCTGCAATAACTGCACAGACTCACATGTCATCTGCTTTGGCTACAACTGCGAGTAGGGCTCGGGAGCCAGCCCCTCCCTGAGCCAAGGGCCCTTCTATCCATGGGATCCTGGGCTTGTCACCAGGGCAGGGCAGGGCCTGGGGCTTGGGGGCATGCCACCTCCAAGGCCCATGTCCCCGCAGGTCATCAGCACAGTGGGAGACAGCCGTGCGTGGCCTTCTCAGTTACATGTGAGTCAGGGGTCTCTGGGCTCAGGGAGGGGACACCGATCAAGGACACTTAATCCCCTGACTCCAAACCGGCTGTCGTTGTAGAAATAATTGGCACAAGTAAGTCCCTCCTCAAACCCAACTCGGGTGTTGTCAGAGGCCGTAGGCCTGTGCGAGTGCCCTGGGGGTGAGTATGTGGGGGCAGCACCTTCCTCCTTCCAGGGCCTCTGAGCTCCGCTGGAGTTCGGGGCAGAGCTGTGGCCAGAGCCCCAGTGCAGGCGTGAGGGCCATGGGCACAGCTTTAGCCCCAGAGCGGGGGTCTAATGAGAGCCCTGCCATGTCTTTCAGACAGGACACCAACATGAGGTAAGGCTGCCCAGGACTGTTAGAGGGAATGGGCACAGTGGGCTCCTCTGGGCTGGGGGGCAGGTGGGTTCCATGGGAAGGGCTCTCTCTGCACCTGGGATATGCCGGACCTGCTCTGCTACCACCCAAGTGGTCATTTCATGAACAAATGACTTCCTTCATCTCCTCGCCTGGGACGTGCAGAACCACTCCAGCCTTGTGAGTGACTGGGGAGGGAGGTGGCATGAAGCAGGCAGCCACTGGGGAGAGGGGTGCAGCGCAACAGAGAGCCCCACTTAAGGCCACCCCACCTGGCACTCTGAATAGGCAGGCCTCATCCATGCCCCGGGACCAAGTTTCCCAGCGGGCCATCCAGGGAGGGAGGGAGGCCAGGGGCGGGGGAGAAGGCTGAGGCCATTTGTTCCCTGCAGCCTGATATCACCAAGCTTCACGTGCCTGGAGCCACAGCACCTGGCCAACTTGACCTTGGAAAATGCCTCGGAGTGTCTGACCCAGCACTGAGGGCCACCACCTTGCCCCCAGCTGCAGTGGGGCAAAGGACTCAGCTGGACTGTCTCATTGTGCCTCTGACACAGGCTTGCTGCTGCCTCGGGTCCCCCCAACCCCAGAGAGCCCAGGCTGGGCCAGGGTTGGGGGAAGGGAAGGGGGACGGGTTTGTGTGTAGCACCAGCCCCTGGGCAGGGTCTCAGAGCTATTTGACAGGACGATTAAAGTTCCCTGACATTTCTCATCCAAGAACAGTTCTTGCCCAGCAGGAGCCATTCAGAGGGCTTCTGGCCTCGTGTCCATGGAGCCAGCGTCAGGTCCAGCGATTCCCAACAGCCCACTCTCCACTCCTGAACACTCGTGGGCAGGCTCACAGGAAGGCACACCAAGGAAGCCATGGGTGCCTTCTGATAGCATAAGATGGGCCGCACTGGGGGAGAGCCAGGCCAGCTTTACTTGCCTGGGGCTCTGGCCACAGCTCTGCCCCGAACTCCAGCTGAGCTCAGAGGCCCTGGAAGGATGAAGGTGCTGCCCCCACATACCCACCCCCAGGGCACTCGCACAGGCACATTGCCTCTGACAACAGATGGACACAAGCCACTGTGGTCCCTGCTGCACCATTTCTCAGTGTCACACCACCTGCAACTGGGGGGGTAGACAGGCTCTGACTGCACCTCCGTGGGAAGGGCAGGCTGCAGCAGGCGGAGGCGGTGGGCACACGTACCGCAGCTGCACAAGGCTGGCGGAGTGCACACTCCTTTCTTGGGGTGGCTTCATTGCTCTGCACCCATGTGTGACAGCTCCTTTGCTCTGCACCCGTGTGTGGCTGGCCTCGTGCGCAAGTGCCCCCAGGTGTGCTGGTGCTGTGCGCCGGCAGGGCCTGCAACTCTAGAACGCATGCGGCTTATGTGTGGCAGCCTGTGGCGACTCCTCACCACCTGCCTTCCAGAGCCATCGGGAATCATGCCACTTGAGCAGCTGGCCACCGAGCACGTTGTGTGGTTACCAACACTGAGCTTAAGGCTCCTTTGGGGGCCCCTTTGAGGGTCCTGACGGGGGCTGAAGTGGATGTCTGGAATCATGGGAAAGAGCCCACAGGTGGTGGCCGTTCAGACAGAGAGCCTGGACAAGAAGCCAGTCCTGCTGTGGGTCACCTGCAGGACTGGGTCTGTACCAGAGTGAGGCCACTCGACTGTCTGGTCCACGTGGTGCCAGTGTGGCCAACAAACGCCAGCCCCTTCCAGCCTGACCCTGGCCCTCCCCACTGTGCCTCAACTGTGACTTCTAGGTGACAGCACTCCATGGGTAGAGGCTGGAGATTCCCCCACCCACTACCGGCCCAGGCCCAGGAGCCGTGACTGCACGCTGGGGACCGTGGACACCTCTGCAACCCCAACCTGGGTGCTGACCCTGGTGAAAGGCGTACAGAGGCCGGAGGAACGTGCAGAGTCTGTTCTGCAACTTTATTGGATCATTTGGACACAAAATCATTACAGCAGCGTGATATGTCTATACGGGAATGTCGATAGCAAATAGTCGTGTAACATCATACAATTTCAAAGTTCTAGAATCACGGTATGGGATTCCATAATAGATTACCCTACATGCTAAAGTGACCGTTTCCATCAAAAGGAACAGTTAAAACGTCATGGGGAGCCATCATCTCAGGAACTTGGCTCACCCACTGCCTGGCTGTGGGCGATGGGCTGGCTGGGTCCCCGCACCCTGCCGAGTGGCTGCTCAGCCCAGGAAGGGGCTCTTCAGGGGATCCAGCCCGAGAGGCGTCTGGGACATGTCCTCCACCACTGGACGCAAGCCTAGGCGTGGCGCTCCTAAGCCCCACCTGGGCTCCCTACAGGGTCGAGGTGGAGGCAAGCCTGGGTGTGTTCAGTGATGAGCAGAGGGACATGGGTCATGGGGCTCCACCCCATTCCTAGACAGCCCAGGATGTGATTCGACTGTCAGTGATTCATGCCTGAGGCCTGGCCTAGGCAGGGGACCCAGGAGCACAGAGAGCACGACCGTTTTCTCATCACGGGGTCTAGGGAGAGCAGCTTGGTGATGGCCGCGGGCTCACCTTCCTACAAATGCCACCAGTGGGGATGTTGGGGAAAGAGCAACAGGCAGAAGGACAGGCCCCGGATGAGCTGCAGCCTGCTTGCCAAGCACCCTCCCGTGGGGTCCGCCAGTCCTGGCCTGGTGGTCCCAAGGGCTCCTTGGCAGCCCCAGTGACCACACTGGAGGAGTGAGCCAGTGGGCAGAGCAGAGCACAGCTGGGAAGCCCCTTGCTGGTTTGGGGACTGGAACAGGGCTTCTTGCCAGAGAATGGACAGATTTAAAGTAAAAAAGGATCAAAAGAAAATCAACACAACATAGGATCCGGATGTCTACACAGGTGACAGTGGAGTTCGACCAACACTGGGCACAGGGACAGTGCACAGGACCAGGGAGAGGCGAGACACGCCAGATGTGCCAGTCGTCATGCCTGGCACTCAGCACTGGGCCAGCGTCGCCTGCATCTCCTCTAGCAAGTTGCTGAGCAGAGTCGGGTCGCTGCACTTCCCATCCACGGACACCGAGTGCTCGCCCTGGGGAAACGGAGCCAAGGCTGCCTGCACCTGCGCGCACTGCCCGCCTCGTGCTGCGGGGGAACCAGGGCTTCGGCAGGCAGGCAGGCAGGCAGAGTCCTGGTGTGCTGGTGATCTGCTCACCACACGTGGGCAGTGCGCACGCTGCGCTCTCCCCCACCAGAGACGGGAGCAGCCACCGGATGCCGTGGAGCACTGAGGGTGGCAGGTGGCCTGGGGTGGAGACTACAATTCAAGAAGCCTTGAATTGGCAGCAGTTTACCTTTTCTCCTGCCCTCCAGTCCCAGGCCCCAGGAGCAGGGTCACGTAGAGAGTGGGCAGAGTAGGGGAGCAAGGGACCTGCCTTTAGGCCAGGGAACCACAGGGCAGAGGTCACAGAGGGAGGTGAGTGGAGAGCCCCGTGGAGCTCTGCAGGGCCCAGCAGCCCCCTGAAGGGTGCAGAAGAGCCCTGTGAGGGCGCAGAAGAGCCCCGTGAGGGTGCAGAGGCCGTGCCCTCTCACCTTTTTCACCAGGAGGCAGACGTGGTGGCCTTGGATGGAGCGGCTGTACATGGAGGCGCAGGAATCCACTCGTTCCACAACTGTAAGAAAGCAGCAAGACACGGTGGGGCTGTCCCTCCCAGGGCAGGGCCTTCCCTAGGTGGCCTTCAGCCATGGGGGCAAGTGGGGCAAGAGGTATAGGGGCTGGCTGAGGTGAGCAAGGCTGCTGTGGCCTGGGGGGTCCTGCGACACACGCCAGGCCAGCTAAGGGGGACCACCTGCATGCACATGCTGCGCCCAGAACAACCACATCACATCCCTTACCTGAAAAATGGTGGTGAAAACAGATCTTTGCCAGAAGATTCTGGAAGGACATACTAATGCCGTCAACTTTGATGGAGCTCATGCTCAGGTCCCCTGACTCCAGCAACTTGGCAAAGGCATCGCTGTGGGAGGAACAGAACAGGCCAGTGACCACAGGCGAGGGGCCTGGCCCTGCCCCCAGGAGGCTTGGTGGAGCCTGCCTCACAAGCCAGGGGCCTGGGAGGTCTCTGGACTGGCCATGACCCCTAAAGACCATGCTGTGTCCTAACCCCGCTGCCTCAGAATAGGACTCTGTTTGGAGATGGCCTTACAAGAAGTCACTGAGGCCAAATGAGGTCACTTAGGTGGCCCTATCCAGTATGCTTGGTGTCCTCGTGAGAGGAGGAGGTCCAGACACAGACTCGCACACAGGGACAAGATGTCCTCTGCACACCAAGAGGGCAGCCTCGAGAGGCAGCCACCCAGGTGCAGTGCCCGGGCAGCAGCCCTGCAGGCCGGGGTCGCCTCCCCTGCACAGGAGAGGACCGCACCTGTAGCAGGGCGTGGTCACCAGGTACGCACTGCAGCTGAAGTGCAGCCTGAAGTCCAGCTTCTCGTGGGTGGCCCCATTAGCGTCCTGCGGAGGAGGAAGGTGGGGCTGGTGGGGATCACACCCCAGCATGGGGCTCCCTAACGCTGGGGACCCCCGACACCCTCCCTGGGAGAGGGGAAAGGGGCCCAGCACCAGCAGGATTCTGTGCACTGCCGGCTACAGAGTGGCCAGGTGGACACTAGCCAGAGACCCAGGAGGACTGCGTTCCCAGTGGCACACACCTTGGCGATGAAGGACAGTGTCCCCTTGAGCTTCTGGGCCATGACGATGCTCTGAATGGTGAACACAAACTGGGCTTCATTGGAGACGCCTGGACAGGGAGACCAACAGCAGGGGCTCAGCCAGGTCCCGGCTCTGTCTCTGGGGCTGGCTCTTGATCCCCCATGGCTAGCTGGGAAGCTGGCTCCCCAGGAGAGGCCACGGACACGGGGGCAGAAACTCAGGCCTGCTAGAGTCCCAGCCTGGACCCTGACTGGCTTCTCTGCCCCAGGCCGCAGTGCTGAGGGCCTGCGAGACGCCAGAGGCTCGAGGCTTGGTCCGCTGCCGTCACCAGCACCCTGAGGTCTGGGTCACGGTCCTGGCCCCCCGGGGGCTGAGAAGGCCATATGGGGGGCAGGTGGCTCACCAGGCGGCAGCTGGAAGGGCACGGGGACGCCGTCGTGGACAGAGGAGCCCTCGGGCCGCGCCATCTTGGTGTTGAGTGAGTCCAGCACACTGAGCTCCATGTGCTGGAGGAAGCTGCTACTCTGGTTCTCCAGGATGACGGACACCGTGACCTGGCTGTCCTTCTGCAGGCTGGCCTGGACATCATACGTCTGTAGGAAGCAAGCCCAGGGACAGGACTGAGGGCCGCCAGCTTGTTGCAGGACAAGGAAATTGCTTCTCTGCCAACTAAAAGTGATCCGTGCCCAGGCGGGTGCAGGGCGGGCAAGGGGCAGGGCTGGGGGTCGCCCACAGCCTGAGCCCCGCCATTTTCTGTTTCCAGCACTGGGACTGACCCAGGGTGCTGCACCACTGAGCTACCCCTGGAGCCCTTACTATTTTATTTGAGGCAGGGTCTCAGTTGCTGAAGCTGGCCTGGAACTTGCCGTCCTCCTGCCTCAGCCTCCCAAGTGCACCCCTGCACCTGGACGTCTTTTGTAAGCACAGGGCTGACCTCGGGCAGCCTGGCCACCAGTAGCACGTCTATTACGTGCACTGGAAGTGAGGTCTGTCTCACAGCCTAGGTGCTACCTCCCTGGGAACATCTGGGAGCCTCTGG